GGGCGGCTTGGTGATCGTCTCGGGAAAGTGGCGGACCGATATGACGCAACGAAAGTATACTGAAATTATTCATCGTGCCCAAACTCATATTGAATGCGCTCAGATAGATCACAAGCGTCGCGCGGGCTTCCCCGCCATGCATCATCATCAAATATGTCCGTGTTTGTCGGATTTCCAATCACCCGAGGATACAGCATTGCATGTACTTGGTCATCTGTTGCAGGTATGGTAGAATCTGAGTCCGCGGGCGCCCCCGCCATGCCGAAATCACCTTCGACGGGCACGTGGAAGGTCTCGGCGAACTCGATATCTGGAGGTTGCCCCGCGATGGGTACACGCAGCCACTCTGCCAAGTCGATGTCGCCGTGGCCAGCGAACACCTCCTCGAACAGCTCGTCGGCGAAATTCTCGAGGGTCATACTGGCACTCAGATACCCGGCAGCCATGGCATGAACAATTGTGGCTGAGCCGTCGGCAGGGTCGGCTAGAAGCGACCCCCAATCAACAGACTGTATGTCGGAGTCCGTTTGAGCCAGATGCGTTGACGGACCCCTGCCTCTGCCATCACCTCGGGGGCACTCGCATCGAAAATGTTGCGCACTGCGACATATGTCGCACTCCATGGTTTTACCGTTGGCATCGTTTGGGTTTCCTCGTCGCCCTTTACAGTTACGCATGCCTACGGTTTCTGTCAGTTCCTAGAAACATGTCCTCATGCTGAGGTCCAGTGAGAGACGCTAGGAATGTTAGCATGCCTCTACCATGTAGTGGCCGACGCTAACATGTGCCTTTACTTCGACCCTTGCCTTTTCTTTAAATTGTCCGTCGCACAATACGTCTTACCCTTCTGACTGGCTTCTTCATGAACCTCCGCCAACGACACGTGTTCTTGGTAGCCCAAAAACAACCATTGGGCTTGCTGCTCTTCCGTAAGGTATGCAGGCATATCAGTGCAATCCAAGGCGGTAACTTCATCATCGGAAGACGCATCCGCATCGGTACCGGAGTCGAAGTCGGACTCGGCGGGTTGCCCCGCTGAGCCCATTAGGGCCAAAGCTGGCATAGGGGAAGCCGCGTCGGGCGGCCCCCCAGATCTGGCCCAGGGGCCTTGCGACCCCGAAGCCTTTCCGCCATTATGAACCAACAGTGTAGCGGTCTCAGTCGGCGGTATATCGTCGTTCCAGACTTTGTTAGCAGGTTGCCCTGCGTTGGCCTCTGCGTGAAAGTCTCGGTTCGACGACCGTGGCTAAAGATTCCACCACTACTGCAAGGGGTCCCCTCAGCTATGTGAGCATATGACCTCATACGTTCAAGTAGAGCGTCAAATCGTGCTTGGTCCCTCGGCATGCGGTGGTTCAGAGGCTGCAGGAGTTGTTGTGCACGCGACGCCCCCACTCCAAGAGCCCCGAGTCGAATTACTGCTAATATTTGGAAAATGGGGATGTTGAAGCCGGCGGCTTCAGCTTCGTAGCGGGCTATTTCGAGCCGTGCTAACGTCTGGTCGATGCGTTCCCCCGCATGGACTCGAAAGTCCATGAGAGCCGAGCCACAATCGAGTTGGCGTTCCTCTCCTAGGTTCTCGAACTTCGTACTCAAGAGGAACATAATGTTTGTGACGCCGTCGGCATGGCGACCGCCTTTGACGCCAAGATTGATGACTGCTGGGGGGGCTCTCATGGCTATAGTCCGAGCGAACCCCCCCCCCAGACCGCGCTGCAGCGCGGCGACCTGCTGGGAGGGCGTCACGTTGCTAGTGGTCACATTGATCCAGGCATGTACTTCGCGGGCGAACTCGCGAAATGGCACTTGACCGGCAGGATCCCAATGGAGGCCAGTCGTTCTACAATCGTATCCGCCCCGCATATGTCCTACCGCACACCCAAGAGCGACCCATATGAGCCCAAAGATAGTAACCCCAATCCAATGGCCTCGTAGGTCGTAGTCGGATGTACGTAGTCGGTGGGGACTTTTGTTTTGTCGTCGTAAGTCTGCGTGGGATCGGCGGCGGCAGTATATCGTATCGCATGTTTCCATGCATTACGTTTTCAAGAAAATTTCCCATTGAAGTAGGTGGGTGGACTTCAGGACTGTAATAGCGCAGGGATGTCGGATGTGAGTAAAAGACCTCCGCTTGAACAGAAGTATCGCTGCAAGCTTCCTTGCGGTACTGCGTAGTTGCATACACTCCTCCGCGCAATCCCACTGCACCCTGATGACCCACCATATCCGTAGTCCACCAAATAATGCCGTGGATGGTGAGGAGTAGAGATACTGCTGACCACCACAGGCCAGCTCCGCTACCAAGTTTGAAGGGGGCTGGAAGGCCCAGCCAACAGCCTCGCCTCAGACGAAGCCAAGCTCCAACTCTTTTGTACCGTAGTAACGATACTCCCAGTATCAGAGGAGATGCCATCTCAACCAATAGGAAGATCCTTTCGGCCTCGATAGCGATTGTGTGCCTCGCGGTGAGGCACAGTCAAATCTGGGCGGCCGGCCGTTTGAGCCAACGCGGCCGCGGGCGCACGCTCGCTTCCACTCCTTAAGTCCCTCAACTCGCTTTAGAGTTAGAGTCCACGCCACTACGTGACTTCTTCCTAGTGACGGGATTAAGGAACCCGACGTTGCAGGCGGACTGAGCCGCGAACGAGAATGAGAGAGTCTGAGAAGCCTGAGAGGCCCCACGAAGGCCCGGCGAGTCCCTCCTGGAACCAGAAGGTTCAGCTTTTTTAAATTTTCAAGCGTGTAAAGCTACGCTGCACGTATGCATGCCTTTTCACCCTGGGCCTGCCTGTCTCGGTCTGGAGTCCGCGGGGGCGCCAGTGTTTCCTCCCAGGCCCTTTGTCCTCTCCTCTCCTCTCTGAACAGGCGCCGACGCCTGTTCAGCCCGCTCCACGAGATGGACGGGTTGGAGGACCTTGACTCTGCCTCCCCACCCCGCCCGGAGGTACATCAGATTTCTTCGCCAGCCCCTGAGCAGGCACCGTCTACCCCTGCAGAGGCCTTCCAAGCACACCCGGCAGGAGCACCAGTAGCAGCAGCCTCAGGATCCGCAGCTGCAGACGTTCATCCACCAGCGCTTCATGAGATCGCCCGGCTCTTCAGGGAGGAGGTGCAGCCATTGCGGACCGCGATGAACAACCTCGAGAGCCAGTTTACACAGATGAGCGGGACAGTGGGGACGAGGATGAAGTCAGTGGAGGAGCGGGTCGGAAGTTCGGAAGAGAGAATTGAAGAGGTGGAGATACGCCTCACGAACCTCGAGAACAGTTTTGACTTGAACGAGACGCCCCGCTCCAATGCGAGCGCCAACGACGACGTAATGGAGAGGATCCGAGAGTTAGAGGTGCAGCTGTCTATGCTCCGGGTCGTCGGCCCGAACACCACAGAGACTCAGGAGAAGGACAAGACCATGGTGCTCGGAGGCTTGCAGTCGATCGGGGACCTGGAGTCCGCGAAGAGGTGGGTCAACAACAAACTTTGGGAGGGGCATGGACCAAAGCCGGAGGAAATCTACTCAAAGGGGGAATTCCGAGGCATCATCTTCGCAAAATTCGTCAACAACAGTGACAGGAATACTGCGGTAACCATCTTCCAGAGGGGCTCTTTCAACGAGGAGGGCAATCCCATTTGGGCAAAACAGGACCAACCACTCCCTAAACGCATCGTTACTTCCACGGTGTTCGGGGCAAAGTATTTGCTGAAACAGTGGGGTTACGAAGCCAAGGCTGTTTGGGCAGATCCGGAGGAAGGCAAGGTCTGGGTAGGACAGGAGCTCGCAGTGCACGTCGCCATCGACAACGGCAGCCTCAAGGTAGAGTACGGGACGGACTGGGAGGCCTGGTTCTCTGACGCAAACTACCCGGACTTCCCCAACCTCATTGCGAAGATGAAGAGCAAGTTGGAAAATGCCCCAGTAAAAGGGGCTGGGAAATCCTCGAACAAGGGGCAGAAAGGAAAGGGAAAGGGGAAGGGTAAGCATTAGGGACTCGGACGGCACATCGGCGTTTCACATCCCTAGGAGTTTTGCGCAGAATCTGTTTCCCAACACGGTGAGAGAGTTCATCCTGCGACCGCCCATGGGGGTATTATTTCTACCTTATCCTTGCCACGCAGTGCTTTTGCAGCACGCTTTCAAGAAAGACGGGACTGCCCAAGGCAATTCCGCAGCACTACGATCCCGAGGCCGGTATGCATGGGGCGGCTTGCTTCGTGGAACATGGAGGGACTATCGGAGGAGAAGAGCATGAATGAGGCCAAGTTGGAAGAAATACTATTGGTCATGAAAAATAAAGGTATCGACATATTGTGCTTACAGGAGACACACTTGGCTGGTTCAGCTTATCATTTATATAATGACTACTTTGTGGTATTGTCAGGGGGTGTCGAGAACGACAGGGAGCACGCTGGAGTGGGTTTCTTAGTATCTCCGCGAATCCGCAACTCGATTCTGAGTTTTTCGCAGCAGAGTTCACGCATCGCTACGCTGAAGATCAGAGTCGAGGGGGGCCAGATGAGCGTCATTACCGGTTATGCTCCACACAATGGCCGCCCATTGGAGGAGCGGCAGAGCTTCTTTCACGAACTCGAGGGGGCAGCCCAGAAAGCGAAAACACATGGACCAATTATTGTTCTTGGTGATATGAATAGCAGGCTACACAAGAGATGCGCAGGGGAGGAGGACGTATTCGGACCGCGCGTGTTCGGCAATCCATCCGCAGAGCTCGATGCAGCGAACAACCAAGAACTATTGGTAGAAACGTGCAGGTCTATGCGAATGGTGGTGGCGAACACTTTTATCGAGCGGCCCGTTCACGAACAGGTCACCTACTACGACCTCGCTGCACGTCCGCTCGATGGGATCACTGCGAAGAAGTTTGCCGAGCTCGATCACATTTTGGTGAAGAGAGAGTGGCAGGGAATAGTGCGCCGCTTACAGAGCAGGAGAGACATCGCATTACAATATCATCATTTTTCTTGTTCTCGTGGACACCGCTGTGGAGATCAAGAAGCAGCCGCCCAAGACGCATAAGGAGATACGCGACACCAAAAGTTTGAAGTCACACTCTATCGCCGAGCACTTCTGCACGCGCTTTTCGGAAGGTGCCCAGGACCTTCTGCGCAGAGATGCAGAACAGCAGGTTGATTCGATGGCGGAGACTGTGAGAGCTGCCATGGAGGCCGCTGCGGAAAGTGCCCTTCCAGTCAGATCTGTTATCGCGAAACGGCCATGGATTCGAACAGCCACCCTTGACCTTATCGAGCAGCGGAACACTGCCCGGGCTGAGGGGCAATTCGCGTTAGAAGCTTCATTGAACAAGCAAATCAAATCCGCTGCCAAACGGGACCGAGCAGAATGGTTAGAGAAGGACCTCGCGGAGAACGGCTGGTCTGCTATAAAACACTTGCGGCGCGGAAAATCACACCAACAACAGGGCCGACTACAGGGCATGGATGGCAACCTCGTGGACTCCAGCGACAGGGCTGAAGCCATGGCGACTTACTTCCAGGATGTGCAATGGAAGCGAATTCCTGGCGCAGGGGAGGGCGTGCCATCCGAGCCTCGACTGGGTCCGGTGATAGACAGTCCGACCGGAGAGTTCTCTCAGAAGGAACTGAAGAAGGTGCTGTCGCGACTGCGGAAGGGAAAAGCAAGTGGGCCTGACAATGCACCGCCGGACTTCTGGGCCACCCTTGCCCGCAATGACACTTCTCTTCAAATTCTGCTTCAGCTGTTGAACTCATGCTGGGAGGCGCGGGCGATCCCTCAATCCTGGGCTTGCTTTTCGGCGTCTGCAATATTCAAAAAAGGCAACTCGGCGCTGCCATCCAATTACCGTCCTATTTCACTGTTGGCAGTGGGATACAAGGTCCTCGCGGCTTTGATTCGACTGGAGGCGTGGAGAGCCGCCTCCGAGACAATCAATTTGCTTTTCGCCCTAGCAGGGGCGCGGACCTGGCCATCCTAACCGTGCAGCGCATCATGGACGCAGCGCAGGACTTGAGAGACGGCGAGCTGTCGGTATTACTTCTGGATTGGTCGAAAGCTTTCGACCGTATCGATCCAGGAGCGATGCAAGTGGCGTTGCGCAGGTTTGGTCTTCCCGAAGCTTACATCGACATGGTCGCTTTCGTTTACAGATGCAAATCTTTCACAGTGCGAGACGCTGGCAAAGAATCCGGCGCCCGCCGGCAGGCAGCCGGTATTGCGCAAGGCTGCCCGCTGTCCCCGTATCTGTTCATCATTGTCCTCACCGTCATCATGGCAGATGTGGATTGGGAACATGAGGATTGCAAAACAGACGACGTGGAGTACGCCGACGATACCGCTTTGATTTGTACGTCATCTACTTGCTTGCAGGCAGCTCTGAACAGCCTGCTGTCTCGAGCTGTTCCGTACGGCCTGCTTCCCAATTGGGAGAAAACCGTCGTCCTGCGCATCGGCAACCCGGCGCCGATTCTTGATCCGAGCGGCCAACCCATTCCCGGAGTGGAGCAGCACGTCTACTTCGGCGGCTTGCTGACGACCAGTGGCTCCGCCAGAGGCGCGGTATCCCGGAGGCTTGGAGAGGCGCGGGGCACATTCACAACCCTGAAGACAGTCTGGAGCCATTCTTCTCTGAGCAGGAGTAGGAAGCAGAGGATTTACGAGGCGTGCGTCGTCTCCAAACTTTTGTACAGTTTAGACACAGAGCGATTAAATAAAGCGGAATACTCTCGAATTAATTCATTCCACGTTTCTTGTTTACGGAAGATTTGGGGGATACCGCACCCCATGATTTCGAGAGTGTCCAACGAAAGGGTTTTGGACATTGCCTCGGCGCGCCCGTTGGCAGAGCAGCTGATTGTCAAGCAATTGTGCCTGTTTGGAAAAGTAGCACTAATGCCAGACACCAGCATTGTTCGCAGATCAATTTTCCAACCTTCGTCAACGCAGCTGGCGCGGCCAGCCGGCGTGCGAAAGCGAGGGCGTCCAAGAGTTTCTTGGGGGCACAGAACCAGAATGCATGCGATCAGCCCGTGGGTGGAGACGAACATCGTCTGTCCGCCGCTCTGGGCAGAGACAGTGGTTGCTTCAAGACGTGGAAAGCCGCTGTACGACAGTATGCTGTTTCACTCTGACTAATCGCACTGTTGCCGATGTGCCGTCATGGCACGGCTTCTACGTACTCTCCCTCCTCGCTCGGTGCTCACCACCCGCGGACGCTGTGGCTCAAACTCAAGCCTTGAGTCGAATCGGCGACCGAAAAATCCGATCGCCGCGCGATCGAGCCCCCGGCTGCCGCGCCGCCCGCAATAGCGATCGGTCCCAGCGGGACCCGGCCTCGAGAAGGCCAACATCAACCAGGAGGGTTCCCTGGAGCCAAAGATCCACCAGAAGATCCCAAAAAAACCCAACGTTGCTAGTGTGTCCTTCGCGGCACCAACGGCCGAACCCGCAACACCGGGCAGGCACCTCAGAACAAAAGCAACACCCCAAAGGGCAAGAGAGCACTGCGTGGGGAACCATTCCCAGAGGATGCAGAACGAGCAACGGGAGGAGAGCGACGAGGAGGGGAACATGGATGGGCTAAGAAACGAAGGACTCAGGTGAGAGGGCGGGAAGAGCAAGAAGGAACGGGTGCACCACCGTTCCCACCCCGTGGCCCCGCCGCGTCACATCCCCTGCCCGTCCGTCAGGAATGGAAGGGCGGACAGGGTGGACGCCATGAGCCTCACAGCAGGCCTGCGCCGACAGTCCCGAGCCACACCAGCCCTCGCACCTTCCCCCAGGATGCACGAGAGCATGCAACAACCAAGAAGAACACTAAATGAAATACCCTCCCCTACGGACATCGATCTTCGTCTTCGGTCCGACCGTAACACACGCTCGTGTCGATGCATGCCAGGTGCGTCGTCCAAGATTCGCCGACCCTGTCGTCGTGTGTGAGCGGGGGACTCTGGGCTAGTCGTCCAGGCACTCCTGCAGCAACTTGAATCCCAATCGCCCTAGATGGCCCCGACACGGCCCAAAAGGCACACAAGAAACCGCAACGAGGGCCCCAAGACACAAAAATCGCTGATGCCACCAAAGTTTATCACAGGTTATCGGGCTCTCTCCTTTTCAATCTTCCGAAGCCCCAAGACGACCAAAGGGGGCCCGAGAGACCCCGAACATCGCTTGAAGCGGCGCAAGAAGCCCCAAAAGGCCCCCCGACCCAAGATGACACCCGACACTGCCAGCAGGCCCCCGAATGGGCCCACAAGGACCCCAGGGCCCCAATTCGCCCTCAAGACACCACAAGCAGGCCCCAAAGAGCAACGAGGCCCGCAAAAATGAAAAGCAGGGGTTGAGGACTTGACCATCAGGTAATGAACTGAAAGCCACTCTTAGGATAACGTCGGCGACGTACCAGGGTATCCCACAACTCATCCCTTGATGGCAAGGAAGACGAGTGCAATAGATAAGCCAGGAGATGGGGCGGATCAGGGATCGAGGTAGCCTTTGTCTGCGACAACAAGCGCGCGATTGGCAGAATGCTACCGGAAAAATATTTTAATATGTTGAAGGCCATGGGCCTACGGAGCTATTGGGCTATAGTGTTATGGGGTTATGAGGCCATGGGGCTCTGGGGTTATAACGCTACGGTGATATGGGCTATAGCGCTTTAGGGCTTTAGGGCTATAGAAGCTATGAGCTATAGGGCTACATGGCTATACGGCTATAAGGGGCTCTATGGGCTATAGAGCAATAAGTCTACGGGCCTATAAGGCTATATGGGCTACAGGGCTATCGGGCTATGGGGCTATAGGGCTACGGGGCCATAGGGGCAGTAAGGCTATAGAAGCTATAAGGCTATAGGGCTACAGGGGTATAGGGCCGCAGGGCTATAAGGCTATCTGGCTATAGGGCCATAGGGCTATGAGGCTATCGGGCTATAGACCTATAAAACTATTCGGGACATCGGGTTATGAGTTTATTAGGGTTATCGGGCAATGGAACGATAAGGCTTTATGGCTGTAGACCTATTAAGCTTCAAGGCTATAGCCCTAACGCTCAATAGCCCTTATGGCCCTATAGCTTCCATGTCCCAAGCAGCCCATATTCCTGATAGCCCAATAGCCCAAGGGTCCTATATCCATATGGCCTTATAGCCTAATGGCCCCGCAGCCCTATAGCCCTATGGGGCCATAGATCTAGAAGGCTATAAAGCCATTAAGCTATAAGGCTCCGGGGCAAACGGGCACACGGGCACCGGGGCGCGCCGCCGAAATCGGCGCCAACCCCTCACCTCACAATATGAATCCGCTAGGACCCCCACAGAGGCAAGCCCCGACTGGGGAATAAGACCGCGCAGTCTTGGGCCAAGACAGCGCCGAATAATATAGCGTTCGCTAGATTCAATTCCTGATCAATGAAATCAAATGGGGAAGGAGGATGGGGATACTGTTTTCAACGCCCGAAACAACACACAGCTCAAGCACAGAAAAGACATCGCAGAATATCAGGGCCGGTCGCGGGCGCACTACCACGCGACCAGCCGCGGAACATCGCGGGCAGTCACGGGCAAGTCCAAGCGACTACCCACATAACATTACTGGGATACTACCAGCCAGTTGGCCAGGCGTCAAAGAGCGCAGCGCGCGAGGGGATGCGACCGAGCGGTCAGACCCCAAAGACCTGAAATGTAAAGGCCCGTGTCTGGGCTGCCACGGTAGCAGCGGATATATATATATATATATAAAAATAACATATAAACATACATAAACATATATGTATAAATATACATACATACATACATACATAATTACAGATTTACATATTGTATATATACATATATTGATACATATATATATACATATATACGCGCCCGTGGCGGGGCAAGGAAAAAACAACGCGCGAGCATGCACGCCCGTGGCCGGGCAAAGATAATGACGCGTCTGCTTCTGCATACGTCGTCCTTATGCCTATCCGCTGGCCCTGAATAGGGCACCCCTATGTTGGCGCTGTATATTGTCTCGATAAGGCACGTAATTCCTGACTTCGTAATCGGGGGGCTGAATGGCTTCCATAACTTGCAGCAATCACGCCCGAACAATACATCCTTCTGGCATGACCATCAGCGGTCATGCCCCGTGCATCACGCCAGTGCACGCCATGAACACTACCTCGGTAAAGCTTTCGTCTTCTCAAGCTGATATGTCCCAATCGCGCGCGTTCAGTCGGTCTTCTTCAAGTCCATACGTAACGAGAGCTCAAAGACCAACTCAGCGCCAAATGTACGGGTGGCCTGAATTTTGAGACCACCTAACTCCAACACGTCACTAAGTGCAGCGGGCGTTCGGGGTCCAGCTTTAAGCCCATGGAAAAAAAACTATGGTAGGGCAACAGTCCTCAAGATCACAAGCGGCTGCCAGTGATTCAGCTGATTAGCTGGAACGCACCTGCAAGCGATGCGACTTGCGGTATGCATCGATCAGATGTACTACCGTCTTGCCGTCGGGCGCGTGTCCGCGCAGTGAAAGAGATGATGAGCGGATGTCCTATATTCTGTGGACCTTGCTGAAGTTTGCGCGCGACGGCGTTAAGTCGTCGCACTTGGAGGTTAGCGGGTCCCCGTACATGTTGCAACATTCCACGCGTACCATTGACCACACCTGAGTGATTATCGCATACGCCAAGGCGCCACGCAAACTGATGGACATGTCGGATACTATATGTTCTGCCGTTTCTTCGGCTACCGCGCCCATAAATTCTGGGCGTTCCATATACTCCTCATGATCTAGCTGGACGCGGCCGCCCTCGGTCTCAGGGTAGCGCACGGCGCAGTTGGTGCAACTGTGCTTGTTCAATTTGCATGTACCGAACGTACTTTCGACCCGTGTGAAATTTGTCTAGCGTGTCCTCCACTCTTGCCATGATTCTGTCATCGACGTGCCTGGCAATTAAAAGGTTTGGGCTTGTCTCGCATTCTTCATCGTACGACGTAGGCTTTCGCCCGAATCCTCGCGCGACGGTTCCGAATTCCAATGAGAATGCCCGATGGGGCATCTTTGGTGCCTGTGGCTGGCTTCAGACACTGCAAACAACGCTTTGACTCGCCATAGAACGAGAAGCCGGGCAGCGCACGCAGCACCGAGGCTGAACCAAGTGGGAGAGTAAAGCAGACCATGCGCTCTCTCCCTCTCTCTCTCTCTCTCTCTCTCTCTCTCTCTGGTGGCTTCTGCCGACTCACGAAGAGCCGGACCTTTCAAGAAAGCCTCATCGATGTCCACGAATGCCATGACCCATTGTTTCTTGCGCGCGGCCGCGCTGGCGAGCAGTCTCTGGATTGCCCGCCGAGCTGTGCCCGAGGAAGTTTGTACGTCGAATGCTTCGAAATCCATAAAGCCACGATGAACAAGGCGCAATGGCATAGTCCGCTCCACATCGCCGTCGTCGTTCTTGACGAACTCCCACTTGTGCACGTATCCAGATGTCGTGATGTTGGTAGCATTTGTGGCGTCCTGCATCATACAGAAATCGATATTATATCACTTTTAAGACCCACGCACAAATTATGATATCTACGTCGGCTTGGCTTATATTTCTGCCTTCGCCAGGAGGTCGTCTTCCACGACGACGCCGGCTCTTTGAGCTGCGGCCGAGACGTACACGCGCACTGCGGTTACTCAGTTGTTTGCCAACCTATCGTCGTATTAAGCAAACGCGTCTTGTCATTGATGGGTTGCTCTGCTTGTTGATCCTCTTCTTGTAGTAGCTCACGAGAAGCTAACCTCCCACTGCGAACTGATGAGCACCTGGCTGCGAGAGTCTGTTCAACAGGACTGCTATCAGCAAAATGTTGCACATCCGCACGCGCGCGCAAGGCAGGGCCGCCCGGCTGGGCGGCGCGCGTTTTTGCTTGAATAGCTACCACAGCTGCGGAGACAGCCCCCCCGCATGACCTATGCCCCACCTACACTCTGCAAGGGAGAAGAGTAGAGGGATGTAAAAGCAGGCGAGGGGAATGTTAGCAATGATTCCACCCGCGGACACCTAGCGCGACATCGTCAAGCCAGGATGGACGGCAGCACTTCGGCTGCTATCCCAAGCAAAAGAAGCAGAACATGCCAAACAGCGCTCCGAAAGTCCCGAGAGCGCCAGACAGCCCCCACCCCTTCCAAGGGCCACCTTGGGCCCCCCCACCGCGCCAACCCCAAAATAATTCAACGCCGCAGGCGGCAGGGAGGGGGGGGGGCACTCCTGTCACCGCTCATGGAACAAGTCGAGGGCCTCCCGACGAGCCCCATCCCAGAATAGCATTAGAGGCGCGCGCCGCCCAGCCATCAACTCATAAGGCTACCAGCTCGTCGATGACCTCGGCGCAGCTGCGATTCATCTCTGCACCCCGCGGGAGCCGGGCCAGGCTGGGACATCGTCGCCACCGTTCAACCATGCCCACCGCCGGAGCGGTTGCCCTCCCACCACTGATCACCAAAGCGGCGACTCTGGTCGCCACGCTGGGCCTGCCGGCCAGTCCAGCTCGAGGACGACAACCAAGACCTCCAACGATCAGCCGTCTCGGCGTGCCATGGGGCTCGCGAACACGCCGCTTCGCCCTGCCACCACTGGCCATAGTCACGATGTCACGGTGCGGCGGGCTCTCACGCAGCTGCCGCGGCCGCCGACGCAGTCGGCGCAGGCGGCGTGGGCGTCAACCTGGAAGCGGGTTCGCCAGTCGGATGCTACTTCCCAATCGGCCA